GGCCTTTGTGGGGGTTGCAGACCCCCCCTGAATGCCATCGCCAGCCGTTGTCCCAGCACTGCAGCGGGTCGGGCCATGGACACCGGGGATCCCCCCGGATCAGCCGAGCCCCACGTTTTGGTGCCCTTGACCTTGTGCCCAGCCCCTTGAGGGGTTCAGGGTGTGCAGCACCCAGAGACGTCAGCGAGCAGGTCCACGCTGCTGTGAGGGAGCCCTGTCCTGCCTCGAGGGGCGATGGGGCTGCTGGGAGGGTGTTGTCCCCGCTAAGGGTGACACCCCGGGGCACAGCGAGTTTCATGCAGGGGCAGCGTGCGGGAGGTGTCTTGCGGTGGGTCTGTGCTGACCTTCCCTTCCTGCCCCCAGGTGTTCGTGGAGACGCTGGACAAGTGCTTCGAGAACGTCTGTGAGCTGGACCTCATCTTCCACATGGACAAGGTGGGTGTGGGCTCTGTGTGCTCCTCTGGGCCAGCACTGTCATTCCCCCCCAGCACCCAGCTGCCTCAGAGCCCAGCCTCAAGCTCCGGAGCCATTCAGGAGAGGGTGTGGTACATCAGGAGTCCCTTTCTGGGGAGAGGTAGAAATCCTGTCTGGGGAAGGTGTCAGCATGGGCTCTTCACAAGCTGCTGGCATCGAGCAAGATCCCATTAAGCATCTTCAGCCCCATCTCTGAGGTGATCTCGCCAGCAAGAGACGTGAGCTGCTGGGCTCTGTCCCGAGTCCTCCGTGGGGAAGCTGGCTGCGGGTTCCCAGCTCCGCTGCAGCACAGCAATGGCAGGGTGCCTGTGGGCTGGCGGTTGCCACCAAAGCCAGGGAACCCTGCAGTCAAGGGACAGGGATCCGTGCTGAGGCTTTGTTCTTGGTCTTCTGCAGGGGCTGACGGAGCCGGGCAGGCTGTGGCGTGGTGCTGGGGTGTTTCGCCTCTTCTCCTGTGCTGTGGGACCTGGGGGGTGGGGAGGCTCGTTAACGTTTTACCAGAGCTGCAAGGAAGAAAAGGGAAGGAACAATGGGAGTGTTTGGAATAGAGTGTGTTTGGTAAACGTTCTTTTGTGCCACAGCCTCTAGTGCTTCCTCTTGAGCTGGATGGAGTTTCTGGGCGGAAACCTGTCCTCTTTGATCGTCTCCTAGATGGGGCTGGAGATAGTGGGACTGTGCTTAGAGAAATGAGAGACCCAGCTGACATGTGCTGGGCTGCTGTTGATAAGAGTTTTCTTGCTTTGTTGAAGACAAAACATGCCAACAAAAAGAGGAGCTGGGAAAAAAATGAAAAAGGCTGTAACATGTTGCCTTTCTGTTGGCAATTCCAGCTTAGGAACGCTGGCAGAGAAAGGGAGTTAGCAAACCTCCTTAGGAGGCAATCTGGGTCAGCGCAACGTGAAGTAAGACTTTGATTTCAAAATTTGCCTGGCTGTAAACTTTCAGAAATGTTACGACATCGATTATCTTGTCAGCAAAAGCGTTCTTATCAAAGCAAGCCAAAGGAGAGGAAGGAGGAAGGAAGGAGGAGTCCCTGCGGGAGGAGCGAGGCAGCTGCCTGGATCACCTCTGGCCACATCTGGGGGAGGAGGATGTGCTCTGGGTTACCTGCTCTGTGCTGTGACCGAGACCCCGGCAGCTTTACCCCCAGCAGCAGAGGTGACCTGCTGCTGCTCTGTTTTGCCCGCAGCAGTGCAGATCGCCCTTCCCCTGAGCTCTCCTGCCAGGCAGGGCTTCGGAGCAGACGGGACTTGGGCGGTTCCTGGCCAGGCAGCCCCAGGCTCGGTCACCCCGGGCTGTCCCACCAGCCAGGCTGCTCACTTCCCTCCTGTGCTCCCGCCGCTTCCCAGCCTCGACTCCAGCCCTTGGGCGCTGTCGGTCCATCCTCTCGCCTCTGTGTGTTTATTTCTCAGATGTGTTTGTGCTGAGTGCCCGTGCTCCCCAGAGCCTGGTGGCAGCAGGTGGTGTCAGGGACACTGGGGATGCACCGGGGTGTCCAGCTTGTCCCCAGTCTCACCTGTTGGACACCTGGACGGGGCTTTGTGCTGCTCTGCTGCTGCCCCAGCGCTCCCGTGGAGCCCGGCCTGGGGATGTCGGTCTGTCGGGGGCGTGTGGGGCCCGGCGCTGGCCCCTCTCTGGCAGAGGGATCGCAGGGTTGTGAGTTCCCGACTGGAGCCGGGGAGGAACGAGGCCAACACTGGCGTGAAGGCGCTGATTTGTGGAGCAGAGGCTTTGGCTGGGAACGTCCCCAGCCCAGCAGGTGCTGGCGGGGGTTCAGGTGCAGCTTTGGGTCTGGTGATTTTCTGTTCCTGCCTCGAGATACACCCTACGCTCTGTGTCCAGCACGGGGTCCATGACAAGAGCTGCTGCGGGTTCTGTGTCCTGCTCTGGCAGCGGGACGGGGCTGTCG